AAGGGGGAATCGTTAACATGGCTGTGTCGTGTAATACCTTTTATTGGGAGCCACCAGGATTTCAGACCGCGTTGTTGTTGTTCAGTCGCACAGTCGAGTCCGACTCTTTGTAAATTAATTGTGTAGTACAAATTGCGCTACAGATCGGTCTGTGCTTATCAGCCACCCAGTTTAGAGTCTTGGCTGAAACTTGAAAGCGGAAACATGCAGCGGCCTTGTCTTGATTACATACACCCTTCAGAGAGTCTTACAGTGGAAATGCTGTTTGTGTACAAGCCTGTCATAAGAGATCCATATTCTCCTCTCTCTCGTCTCAGAACAAGTTACGTCTTGCTTTTGAAACAGAGCCAATGTGAGGACTGGAATGAATTGTTCCGTGCTTCCTCCGAAAGACCCCCCGGGGCGGTGTGTAAACGAATTATGCATATTCATGTGAGGATTCTGATGAAAGAAATATGGATCCCGTAAAGGGGGAATCGTTAACATGGCTGTGTCGTGTAATACCTTTCATTGGGAGCCACCAGGATTTCAGACCGCGTACGTCGCCAAAAAAGCGTGGAAGCTTTTGAAAGCTCTGGAGCTTTTCATCAGACAGGATGTTCGGCTCGAAAACTGAATGCGTGGATGTTGGGTGGGCAAAAATAAATGGAGAATAAGCAAAGTGGATTTGTTTAAGTGGTGTGCTGGGTGCGAACTAGCCCAATTGATACAGTCACAAATTTTGTTTTCCATAGAACAGCTACTGCCAAAGACTTTGGGTTCTGCTAATGTGCCTTAGACCTGGGATCCCCAACCCTTTTTTGTCTAATGAGACAAGGCTGAGTTTTGAAACTGATGTCAGGCCTATGACACGTGATCTAATAACACGTGACACGTGATCTGTGCACGAACGGTTAGAGGATGCGTTTACCTTTGACTGGTGACAGATTGTCACTGTTCTTCTGGATTGGGGTGTGTAGTTTTCTAGTCCCAGGGTGTGACTTCCAGGCATTTACGAGCTTCAGTGATGCGTTTTCATAGCGACGAGTTTCTGTTCAGCTTCCGTTGTTGCTATGAATGCAGGGGTGTTCACAGTGACAATGGAGCACATGCACACTTTGCTCACCTCAGCCCTCCTCCCTGGCCATAGCTGCCATTCCCTTCTGTACTGGAACTGTTGGGGTTTTTTTTTCCTGGGGGGCGGGCTTTAAAAATGGCAGTGAGCATATTGTTATAGTTTTATATTAGAATGATCTATTTGTTAGGTCCTCTGAATTCCTAGCCTCCATTTCAAAATCAACAGTAAGTCTCTAACCCCTTTTTCTTGCAGAGATATAAGGGGAAAGGCATGTCTCTGCAATAAGAAGGGTTCGAAATTTGTTTATTTTTTTTTAAAAAGAAGGCAATTCAGAGGATCTAGGCATTATAATGCTGTAGAAATATTTCAGTTGGGAATTTTTTTAAAGCCCAAAGATGTCCAGTGGTAGGGGAAAAGGCGGCATGTGCGGGGGGAGGGGGGAGCTGAGGCAAGGAAAATGATGCTCATGTGGTTGGGACCTACACCTTCCCAGCCATGCATGCAGTGTGCAAACATGCTCTAACAGATCTTTCAAAAAATATCGTACCAAACCAGGTTTGGGAAAGTTCACAGCAGAACAGGGCAAAGTGCAGAAAGTGGACAATTGGAGGATATCATGTGGATACTCCAAAAAACCCTCCTCTGGATCGGTGTCCAAGCCAGGGAACAACTTCTTTCTGGATGCAGCCAGTGTTGGCTTCTGTCTGACTCTGCTTTTGTTGTCAGTTCTGGTTTGGAGGACATTGAACGGGGGGAGGAGAAGGGAATGTGTCAGCAGTCAGCAGGAAGACGTCATCCAGAGAATCAAAACACATCTCCTAATAATTCAGGTTTTCAAGTTACATACCACGAATTGCCTAACTCGACTGCATATCTGTGTGCATGCCATGTGTTCTGGTTTGGAAATGCTTCTCTGTAATGGAACAGGAACACAGGTTCCTCTCGTGTTCATTTGGAAGGGTGTAAATGGTGCATTCTCTAATCTGTGTGGACACCCCACACACCATTTGTGACCTGGTGTACCTTCTTTGACTCTTGAAAAACTTATGAATGTTCTGTTCAGGTAGAGTCAGTGGCCAAGGGTGTGTGTGACCAGCTTGAGCTAGCTCAGCGGGCTGCATAATCGTGCCATAGCTATTCATGTCTTGGTGATGTCCAGATTGCTCTGGTGTACAGGTGTTGTGGTTAGATATAGGTTTATCTGTGTCGATCTGTCATCAAGTATATTGATGAGGTATCGCTTCATCGGACTTGTTACTCTGTGGAATAGCCATGTAATTTAAATTAATAGAGCACTTTTGTAGCAGTAGAAAAGAGCAAGAGTCTGGTAGCACCTTAAAGACTAAAAAAAATCGTGAGACACTCTCCTTCTCCTTTCTCCTTCTCCTCCGGTAAAATCAGCCTCAAACCATAGAGCATCACTGTAACGATTTCATGTTTTGGTGTGTGTGTTTCTTTAAATGTTTAGTGCGACTGCAGTAATGTAAGGAGAGTGATAGAGGGAGATAAGTGTGATGTGATGGGCTGCTAGCTGAGAGTGTGGGAGGAGAGATGTCTCTGAGGTGATTCTGTGTTCTTGAAGAGACCAGTATGGAGAGTTTTTGTGAGAATCTGGGTGACAGAGGAAGCAGTAGGAGTTTAGCCTGTGTGGCTATATGAGCAAGAGAGTTCAGCCTGTGTGGCTATATATATATATGAGAGAGAGATAAGCCTGTCAGAGTTGAGTTTTGGTGTCTGAGAAACTGTGGGTGACGCCAAGCCTTGTCAGTTATATTTTCTTTCTTCAACAACAGTTCAAAAATACCCAGAAATCTATTTTGTTCTTTAATAAATAAATCGTTATTTGTTTAAATTTATCCCAGAAATCAGAACAGTCCTTCCTCAGGGCCACATAGTCCTCTGAAGCACCCAGACACTGGCTCATCCTACCAAAATAGAGAGATTTGGATTTTTTCATTCCTGGTGGCAGCAGAAATCTACTATGTTCAAATACACAGAGTGAGTTTTAAAGGAGAAACAGTCTCCCCAATAAGCAGGACGTCACAGTCACCCTGCCGTCAGCACCGTTACTCTTGAAGGTGCTCCTGGATTCTTGCTGTTTTCTATGCTGTGGGCAGACTAACAGGGCGACCCATCTTGATCTAGAACATTTTTAGTTAGCGATGTCCTTTTAACCTCTTTTCCTGGTCACTTGTCCTCCCCAGGCCTCTGCTGTTTGGCCCCTCTGGCCTCACCATGAGTGGGTAGGGCTCCACCCCCCCCGCCAGATTCTGGCCTTTCAAGAACTGGCTGCTCTGCCCGCCAAACCCATGTCAACCTCTATCTATGGATTTAGAGCTGCCTTCGCTAAGGTTGCCAACCTCCAGGTGGTTCCAGGCACAAATGGACGACAGTGACTCCACCAAGGTTGCACCCCACCAATGTTCACTGTGCAAAAATGATTCTACTCCCAATTACAGCCCACGAATTTGAGGTTGCACCCCATTGTTGCTTTATTTTACGTCATGCAGTGCTGCTGCCGTTGCTGCTTCCAACAATTGCCATGCAACCATTCTTGGGCATGGGCTCCAAGTATAAAGCGACCTGACGAAGCGTCATGGGAAACAGATGGTTTACCCAGGAAATCTGTAGTCGCATGGCCATTGTGGGAAGCAGCAGCAGCAGCAGCAGCACTGCATGACGTAAAATAAAGAAACAAAAGAAGAAGAAGAAGCAAATTTGTGGACTGTAATTGGACTAGAATCATTTTTGCACAGTGCACATTGGTGGGGTGCACCCTTGGTTGAGTCACTGTCGTCCATTTGTGGCTGGAACCCTCCAGGTGGTGGGCTGGAGATCTCCTGGGATTACAACGGCTCTCCAGGCGACAGAGATCAGTTCCCCTGGAGAAAATGGCCGCTTTAGAAGTTGGACTCTATGGCTTTATGCCCCAAACTCCACCCCCCTCGAGCTCCACCCTCAAAACTCCCAGGTATTTCCTGACCCGGAGCTGGCAACCCAATCCTTCAAGATAGGGTTCTGAATCTTCAGGTGGGGGGGAGGAGCTCTCCTGGAATTAGAACTGAGTACAGAGAAAACGGTAGCTTTGGAGGGTACACTCTATGGCATCACACTGCTGCTAGACTTCCTCCCCCATAGTGCTGCCCTCCCTAGGCTCCGCCCCCAAATATCCAAGAATTTCCCGACCCAGAGTTGGCGGCCCTACTTGGTGGCCTGGCCTTGTGCCCCCCCCCCCAGCATGCAGGGTACGGTGAATGGTTACACAGGTGTGATGTCCGCTGACTGCCACCAGGCGCCAGCGTTTCATACCAGAGCTAGGTTCTCAAAGACAATAGGGGCTAGGATCCTGAAACCTCTAGTGGTCACCAATAGGAACTCTGGCGGGAAGTTTAAACCCTCCAATAGGACCTGTGGGTGGGCGAAGGGGACTGTATATAGTTGGCCGACCGTCCAGTATTATCTTATGTTATGTTGTGTACGAGTAAACGTGCTGACTATCACTCTGTTTCCTGATCATTCGATGCATCGAACCCACTGCACAACAACAGGGCAAGGCCTTTTCGGCTGTGGCCCCCAAAGCCCGGAATACCCTTCCTGTGGAGATCACTGGGGGTTCTTCTGTTGTTTTCAGTTTTTAAATTGAAGACTGTTGCCGGTGTCTTTATTGATTTTGCTGGTTATGTTCGCTTTCACGGCTGTTTCTTTTGCGCGCGCGTGCGCCTTTTGTTTTTTGTCACATGTTGTGGATGTTAAGGTTATTGTATTCCATTTTGTGAATCCATGCAGATGAAAAGAAGTGTGTACGTGGTAGGTTATAAACGTCAGAATAATTAAATTTCTGGGTTCTTATTTACCACACCCGTTTGCTGGAGTGGGGGTGGTAATGGTCAAGATTGTTCATCTCTGTGATTCTAAAAGTTATCAATATTTTATTCTCTTTCAGAATCCCAAAACAAAAGAGCAAATTGAAAATCTGCTGCGAAATGGGAGGAATAAAGAGCTCCGGGACCGCCTGTGCCGCAGACTTACGTTTGGGACTGCCGGGTTGCGCTCTGCCATGGGGGCCGGTTTTTGCTACATCAACGACCTGACTGTGATTCAGTCTACGCAGGTGAGTTCCGGAGAGCATCGCGCAGGTGGTGTAGACTCCCGGTAATGAGCAGTGACCCGCCCAAGACACGTGCTGCTAGCCATCCCTCAAAATGTTGCCAGTGTGGTGTAGAGGTTAAGAGTGACGGGCTAATATCCCCACTCGTGCCATGGAAGCTTGCTGGGTGACCTTGGGCCAGTCACACGCTCTCCGCCTAACCTGCCTCACAGGGTTGTCAGGAGCACTGTTCCCTCTAAGCTGAGTTAGTGTGAGCTAGCTTACAATTTTTTAGCCTCCGGCTCACCCATTTCTGTCTTCGCTCAGGAAGGATGTGGCTCCGGAGCAGACTGATTTATGCAGCGGCCAAATGGCTCAGTCACAAGCAGTGTTCCCTCTAAGCCGAGTTAGTTTGAGCTAGCTCACACCTTTTTAGCCCCCTGCTCACCCATTTCTGTCTTAGCTCAGGAAGGATGTGGCTCCGGAGCAAACTAATGTATGCAGCAGCCAAATCGCTCGCTTGCAACTTTTAATGCCAGGAGCTCACAAAGTAGAATTTTTGCTCACAGGACTCCACAGCTTAGAGGGAGTCTTGGTCGGGAGGAGGATGAAATGGAGGAGAGGCGAATGATGTTGGCTGCTTTGGGGCCCCCCAATTGGGGAGAAAGGTGGGATACAAATGAATTAAATAGATAAAACATTGCAGCCCTGTTTTAAAAAGTAAAACTTCTCGCTTCCCTGCGTGGGAGTTGCCCTGCTGGGAGCAAAAGCTACATAACGGTTTAGGCCAGGAAACGAAACGTTTTTCGCTTGCTTAAGTCTGCACGGGCAGTTTGGGGCAATTGTAATTCGCAGGGTCCATTGGACCAATTTGCTAAAACGCAGGGGTCATTCTGTAGAAAAAGCGGTGCAGGAACTCACTAGCATAACTCATTAGCATAACATTTGCATAGGTCACGCCCCCTGACATCACCGGAAGTGTGTCAGAAGGCAACACTCACTGCTCAGGCTCCACGGGACTGTTTTGGGTTGCTAGCTATTGGGGGGGAACGTGCAGATCTGTCCTCGCAGAGGAGGGAGAGCTTGTAGCTGAATAAAACTTGGTCTTAAAGGTGCCACTGGACTGTTTTGGACCAGAGGGCCGGGGAGGCTCTGCAGCTTACCTGGCTGCTTCTTGCTCTGACTGAGGCTGCTGGGAGCAGTGGGTGGGTCTTGTTGCATGTGCCCGCCCCCTGGGCTCTTTACTGCCGGAGCTCTGCTCCTGTGTGCTCCTGCAGGAAATGACCCCTGCTTAATTTAAACCCATTGTTGCGAGTCCTCTCCTCGGCTGCTAACAGGAACAACTCCCTGCCCTCCTCTAAGTGTTGTTCTAGTTGTTCAGTCACACAGTCGAGTCCTACTCTTTGTGACCCCATGGACCACATCACGCCAGGCCCTCCTGTCTTCCGCCGTCCTCTGGAGTTTGCTTAATTTCACGTCCATTGCATGGATAACACTGTCTAACCTTCTCACCCTTTGCCGCCCCCTTCTTCTTTGACCTTCAGTCTTTCCCAGCCTCAGGGTCTTCTCCAGTGAGTGCTCCCTTCTCATTTGGCGGCCAAAGTATTTGAGCTTCAGCTTCAGTCTCTGGCCTTCCAGGGAACAGTCAGGGTTGATTTCTAAGTGGCAGCCCTTCAAAGACTTCAAGAGAGCAATCGTGTCCCCCCTCAACCTTCTCTTCTCCAGACTGGACATTCCCAAGTCCCTCAGCCTTTCTTCTTAGGGCTTGGTCTCCAGGCCCCCGGATCATCCTCGTTGCTCCATTCAGTCCACCTCCTTTTTGAAATGAGGCTCTGCTCCCAGTCTGGTGGAACACTCTTCCAGATGAGATCTGGGCCCAGCGGGACCTAACGCAGTTCCACGGGGCCTGCAAAACAGAAATGTTCCGCCAGGCATACGGTTGAGGCAGTGAAGTCTCCACCTAATTTGGCTTCCCCCAGTCCTCTCCCCCATCCCTCCATCCATTGCATTGTGTTGCAGCTTTTTACAGACACACAGCTTGCACAACCTCTCCTAGATAAACTTTATCTGCACCTGTATCGCCGTCTGCTTTTCTTTTGATTGTGATTATGTTAAATTGTTTTAATAATTAACCATGATACCGGTTTTAACCTATTGTTACCTGCCCTGAGCGTCGCAGTGTGGGGCAGGATGGGTTAGAAGTCTAAATAAATAAATAAATACATTTAAAAAAATGGCTGCCATCAGGCCAGAAGTCAGGAAAATGGCACCGTTGTGGGTGGAAAAACTGAACAAATGTGCACTTTGCTGTCCAAGTAGTGCCAGTTTGGTGTAGTGGTTAGGAGCGCAGACTGTAATCTGGGAGAACCGGGTTTGATTCCCCACTCCTCCACATGCAGCCAGCTGGGTGACCTTGGGCAAGCTGCAGTTCTCTCAGAGCTGTTCTCGCAACAGTAGTTCTCAAAGAGCTCTCTCAGCCCCGCCTACCTTACAGGGTGTGTTGTGTGTTGTGGGGAGGAGGAGGAGATTGGAGGGCATCCAGGATGGTGAGAGGGTTTGAATCCAAGTCTTAGGAGGAAAGGCTGAAAGAGTCGGGTATGTTTAGCCTGGGAAAGAGAAGGCTTAGAGGGGACACGATTGCAGTCTTCAAGTATCTGAAGGGCTGTCATGTAGAAGATGGAGCAGATCTATTCTCTCTTGCTCCGGATTGCAAGACTAGATCTAATGGGTGGAAATTACAAGGGAGTCGTTACCGGCTAAATATCAGGAGAAACTTCCTAACTGTAAGAGTGGTTGAGCAGTGGAACAGTCTGCCTCGGGAGGTCAGCTGCGAGTGGAGGAGTGGGGAATCAAACCCGGCTCTCCCAGATTAGAGTCCGGGCACTTAACCACTACTCCAAACTGGCTCTGAGATTTCGATTGAAGGGCGGTGTATAAATCCAACTCTTCTTCTTCTTCAAAGGTGTTCGAGATTGGTCTTTCCAAAAAAGATCACATCCAATCAGGTTTAGAAATGATTGCAGCTCATTGGGGTGGGAACATGGAACCAGAATGAATAGAGGACATCGTTAGGTGCATGAAAACAGTGATGCAGTAAGGAAGCCAAGGCAGAGGGACACATCTGTGTGGAAACAGCCCAACTGGATTCGTGTCTGCTGCCATTTATGTGGAAGAATCTCAAAAGCTATTGTACAACCTTTAATAATAGTCCTCCTCTGTTAAATAAAAGTTTCAAAAGGGAGGACTCCTTAAAGTCTCTTTATAACATGTGCTTGTGTCTTCCTCCAACAGAGTGGAGGACCATCTTCTGGGTATGTTGTAGGTATGTAGGGCTATCTCTCAGCTATGCTCCTGCAGAGTGTAGGGGGTTGGACTGGATGACCTGCAAGGTCCCTTCCAACTCTAACGTTCTATGATTCTGTGATTCTATGATTTATACTCCGTCCTTCACTCAGAGTCTCAGAGCTGCTTACAAACTCCGTTCCCTTCCCCTCCCCACAACAGACACCCTTCAAGCCTCCTCCAAAGTGAAAAGCACGTTCAGTCACTCTTTAGCCTTGCAAAAATCATCTTGGAGATGAGTTTTGATATTTTCGATTAAGATGATTTATTATATATGTAGAAATTATTGTAAAAATATTTTTCAAAAAATATAAAATTATTTGTGATATGTTATAATCATCTGTGCATGGTACTTGTTGTATGTTGGTTTTCCTACTTGTTTGGTTTTGTGTATTGCCATTTATGTGGAGCAGTTTCCCATGTACTGCCTTTGTGACCCTCTATATCTTGGCTTGGTTGGTGTCACCCATACTTTCCGGGGAGGGTCTTTTTTGGTTTGTGCTGTTTGGCGCACAAGGCATGCAAAAACTGCGATTCTCCCGTTTGCGCGAGCAAACTCTTTTGTGGCCCTAATGGACTAAGATGCTAAAAACCTTCAAGTCAGCATTAGGAATGAATAAGGCAGGTTTTTTTTTCCAAAAGGTTTACACGAGAAATCATAAAAAGGGGGTCTGTGAGCAAGGCTGCTCGACATGCTTAGAAATGCTCTGTCAAAAATATGCTCAAAACATTTGAACTGGGCGTAGTGCAGCCAGCTTTTAAGGAGCGAAGGGACTGTCTTAAGGGCCTGCCAAGGAAGGAAACGTCTCTTTTCACTTTTGACTTGTGCGCTCTATTGACTTTGGAGCTGTTCACGCTCTCCCAGCCTGGGTAGCACGTGCAGGCTTTGTGTTTTGGTCTGCTGGAAGCCGGGGGAAACTTTGGATTGGCTGAATAGCAATGCACATTCTTGGCAGCTTCAGCTGAGACACTGGGGAATTTCGGCCAGTGTTGTTTTGCCCGTTCTGTGGGTTACGTCCCATACCGTTTGTTGACATGAAACACTATTTTTGGCCACTTTGCAGTCATGATCGGGATGTGGGTGAAACCAGTTCTGCTCCTGAACTGGAATGCTTATTTTTAACAGATGCTTGCTGGTTATATTGTACCAGCTTTTTTTAACTTCAGATCCATATTTTCACCGGGACTAAGGCAACTGCCAACCTAGCAGTTCGAAAGCAAGAAATTGCAAGTAGATAAATAGGTACCACTTTGGTGGGAAGGGAACAGCATTCCGTGCGCCTTGGGGTTTAGTCATGCCAGCCACATGACCACGGAAATGTCTTCGGTCAGCGCTGGCTCTTCGGCTTTGAAACGGAGATGAGCACCGCATCCCTAGAGTCGGATTTGACTGGCTTTTGAGCAAGGGAACCTTTACCTTTACTTTAAGGCAAAGAATGGTAAATCCAGAAAAGCTGGAAGGAGTACAGAGGAGGGAAACCAAGATGATTACGAGGTTGGAGCCCTGTGAGGAATGGCTGAAAGAGTCTGGGACTTTTCTGTTTAGAAAACAGACGACTGAGGTGGGACAGTGTTCCCTCTATGCTGAGTTAGTGTGAGCCAGCTCACAGTTTTTTAGCCTCCGGCTCACACATTTCTGTCTTCGCTCAGGAAGGATGGCTCCAGAGCAAACTAATTGATGC